GGCGTCCTTTTGGGAACCTTCTTCCAAGCCGGTCTGAAAATTAATAAGAAAGAGTAAAATAGCATGGTGTGTGTGTGTGTGCACGCTTCCATAATGAGTTTACTTTCAAGTCAATGAGTATGACGGCATGAGATGTCAGTCGTTAACCAACGGAGGTATTAACTGAATGCCAGAAACACCGAGAATACGTGGTCTACATAGTAATTGTACTTGTTGCGGCTGTGACCTAGCTGGCCTCAATGATGTCACAGACGGTATCTCTCCACGCATGACGATTGGCGGCAGCAGATTTGGAAAGCTCCACACACTCTTTTCTGCAGCGACGGAGACCGAAAATCGAAGGTCCAAGAACCGCTCACCTGTCTTGATGAATGGTGTAAAGCCAAGTCTTGAGTTGTCCACCTCTTCAGCGTTTCCAGGTGGGCTGCGGCGCCACATGGAGGACAGCGTGGCAAATTTCGTGAGGTGGATGACGGAGAACGTGCCCAAACCACCTCAGTCGTTGCTCATCTTCCATGCGCAAAGCCCGACATTTACACTCATGGAGGACTGACCGGACGGATGCACGGTACACACAAATCTTCGTGGCGAGGGAGGTGTCGCGTCCATACAGTAACCTGGTTGTGACCATTCTGGTACGGATAATGGACAAGGGCTACACTGGAGTTTTACGGCGACTACTCTTGGTTGCACGAATAAGCATTCAAAAAAACTATCATTGGCTAGGCAATCATCTACAAACTGGCTACCTCTGAAAAGGCCTTATTGTAAAAGCACTATAGTACGATATAGTGAATGTTTCTTACACCCAATAAGTAATAACCTCACGAATTGCGATGTTGCCTATGATTCGGACGGAATAGAGCACATATCCAATACTATGTTGCTAGGATCTCTGTAAGCAGTCACAGCTTACGGTGGCAATTCTGGAGCTGGCTAGCAGAAACAAATGAACACGAACGACTTCCTCGAAACCAAACTGCAGATGTATATCAGCATGCTAGGAGAAACGAGCGTAGCAAACCTACAATGTAAGGACAAAAGGAAGGGACAGCGAAGCGATATAAGGGGGCCTGTGGGTACGTTTAGCAGACTCATGAGTAAACAGTATGTTATAAAAGCATTATGTATGACTGAGCTAAGTTCTTATTGTATTTGAACCGTTCAAGCATACGGGCGCCACAAGCTAGACGGGAGCAGGCATGCGATAGCAAGGCAAACTTGAGATGTGACTTTGGCGACGACTTTCGAGCAAATAGAATAGCTGATCCAACCAATAAAGGTCATTTTTCGACTATTCGGTGATGACAGGCCCCACTAGTTGAACCACATGAGTATGAAAGTGATCTCGTCTATGCTTTACTTTCAATCGAAAAAGCAGCTGTCACGAAGTGTGGAAGGGAAGATCGAGTTTAATTAGCCGGCTATGCTGGGGAGAGCAAAAACGATTATGTACAATAGACAAGATTCGACATTTAACGATTGAAACGAACTTCTAAACGGGCGTCTTAAAACAGCATGAAATGTCCTCTTTTTTATATTCCGAGAAAGTAGATAGAGAATGTAACCAAGATACAGAGGAAGGTGAAGTCATTGCCGCTACCAACTACCACCAGCCGAAAAAAAAGTCTACCTTCATTATCTACATGATCTCCGATAAAACAGCCGCTACGGAGAACAATTTGCCTGCCAGCAAAGTTGAATACAAACATTTATACATGAAATTCCTGAAACCTGTAGACCGTGAAAGGTAAAGCAAACGTAAAAGACAAAAACACTTACGTCCGCATTCACGGAGGACTGGAACTGCGGAGATGAGGGCGTGTCGATGAATTTATTATTGTCTGGCTTTTCGTGACGTGGAGAACGGCGCGGAGTTTTGGGCTCCGTCATTTCCTCGTGGCGTTTCATGGCAGCCAAAAAAGACTTGAAATCAAATACATCCAATTCAGCTAGCTGTTCATCGGACCCACCTGCGAGCTTAATGGCAACTGGTGGGATAAAATACGAAGGCATCACCTGATCAGAAAATAGTCTGTCGATACGGTTGAGTGTTATAAAGGACGGCAAGCAGCGTCTCAAGTCACTGAAGTAAACGAGACTAACCCTATCGAGACGAAGTCAATAGTACAATAGTACAATAGTACGCCTTACATGGTAGACCAAATTCTAGAGCACAGTCACAACCTCAAACCCTAGACACATGTTTTACTGATATTTTGCTGTCACATGAAACGATTGTGAGAGATTTGGCTAACTGGAGGATCTCTGGCGTGCTTTGTGTGTTTTCTGGTGGGCAGTCTAGTTTTGGAATTGCTTACTTACTTGTACTTACTTGTAACGGCATTCACCTCGGGCGGGTTGAGCCGCATCAGTTTTGACGTTG